AAAAAAAAAAAAAAAAAAGAAATAGAAATCAGCATGAACACTTTGGAAAATCTTTTGGCATTATTGTCTACCCTAAGTGTGGTAGATTAAACTAATGGTCAACTTGTAACACCCAGCTGAACCAAATCAGCATGGTCCTGGGTGTGGAAGGCCCCTCTGAGAATTACTGCCAACAACATAACAGGAGAACTGGAAGGGAAGATGGTGTGCTGTTGATTCTCCTAGAGAAGCTTGTTGCACTAGTTTTCCTGATATGAATTCAGTTGTTATCATGGGAGGAGCTTGGGTCCTCGCTGTCACTAAGGACAGCTGCAGTTCTCTTTTGGGGAGCTCTGGTCCTAACTTTGAGTGTTACTTCCAGGTGCCAGTGCAGATCCTGCTGGCACAGATCCTTCATTTCACTGGCGCAGACTTTTTAGGTTCCACCACTGACTTCTGGGCCTTCTCGGTGCAGATCTTTGATAAGGTTTGCATGAAATGTTGTCATGGGCTCTGGGCTTCCAACTGGACTCATGCGGGACACTGCCGTGGGATCCAGGCCCTCAGCTGGATTCTCTAGTGTGTGGACAGATTTCCTAGATTCTTTTTCTTTTTTTTTTTTTTTTTTTTTTTCTTTTTGAGATAAGGTCTCGCTATGCAGTTCAGGCTGGCCTTGAGCTTACTTTGTAGCCCAGGCTGGTTTCGAACTCGCAGTGATCCGCTTGCCTCAGCCTCCCAAGTTCTGAGATTACAGGTGTGCACCACCATGCCCGGTTCCAGCTCCTGAACACAGCCACCTGCCCACCACCCCCACCAAAACTGCTCCAAGCACAGCAAAGTCCGCAGGGATTTGGGACAGTGTCTCAATTGCAGCCTTTGAGTTTTCTGTCCCTTACCCGCCAGCGTGCTCCTGCTTCTGTGCACTTCTTGGAGGACCACTTGAGAAAAAATTCTGAAACATTTCTATTTCACTTTTCTCCTTGAGAAACATTTTGCAAACACATAGGAAATGTTCCCACTTCTCTTCCTTATAAAGAGCTAGCGTCACGCCTGGGGTCTGGCTGGCAGCTCCTGTGGGTTCCTCAGGCCTCTCCGTGCACACCTGGCGTTTGAGAGCATGCGTGGTGCTGATTCCCTGCTGGCCATTGTCTGGATTTATCGTGGCTGCCCCGTGCTGGCCCAAGCCACGTGGCGCAGCAGCAGGTGCCGGCTGTCTTCCAGATGCCCGTGGGCCGCAACTTTGCCCCGCGCCTCCCTTCTCTGTTCTCCTAGCAACCGGGCCAAGTGTGGTTGCCAGGACACGGGCTGCAGTGATGGGCAGCTGGGGCGGACGAGATGTGAGCCTGAGGATCAGGCTCAGGCCAGAGGGGGTGTTGGGATCTGGCTCGGAGCGTGGAGGCCTGGGGGATGGGGAGGATAGATGCGGTGGAGCTGGTAGGAGACGGGTCAGACTGGACCTGTCATCATCAGGAGCTCTGACCTGATGAAAAGACACCACCCCCATTTAGCAGTGCACCCCGCGTACACACACTCCCCAACCAAAGCTGGGCAGAGCTAGCACGTGTCCTGGGCCCCACCCCTGTGGCCACACTGGGACTTCTGGCTTTTGTTTGTGTGCCTCTTACTGAGGTGTAATTCACCTCCCACCCAGTCTGCCCCCTACAGTGGACATCAGAGTGGTGCAGCTGTTGCACCATCAGTTTCAGAACAACTCCCCATGCCGGAAGGAGGCCCCGTGCCCATTAGTGGTGGCCCTGCGCCTCGCCCAGCCTCTAGTACCCTCTGACCCACCTCCGCCCCTGGGGCTCCTTGTAACGGGTGCTTCGTGCAAAGGGAGTCATGCAGTGGGTGGCCCCTTGTGCCAGCTGCTTTCCCTGGCGTGGTGTTTTCAAGCTCTTCCACATGGTGCGTGTCACAGCTCCATTCGGTTTAATAGCCGTGATGCTCCAGCGTACAGACAGCTCCGCCTGCACATCTGGGCCTCAGTTGTATCCCAGCAGCTGCCCCTGCATTGCTACTGTGTCCCCTGCACCTGCTGTACCTCCAGCCAGCCAGCCTCCAGACACTGCCCTACAGAAGGGCCATGCTCTGTCCCCTCTGCCAGCCCTGTGCAGGAGTGTCAAATGAGGTCCCCCTGCAAGGTGTCTGGTGCCCAAGTGGCCACCTTGTGTGGGGCTCAGCTGTACCTCTGCATGAGGAGCTGGGCTCTAGGACCATAGGGCGGGTCTGTGGGTCCCTAAGGTCAGCCTGTAACATCCAGATGCTGGTGTCTCTTCTGATCTGTGCAAGTGGCAGGGGAGGAGCGTCGTGAGGTCATTGCTGTGGGTAGTGGGGCTGCAGGTCTCCCGGGCCATCCTGAAAGGAGTCAGGATGTGTGACAGGTGCAGGAGGCAGGGGCTTCTCCAGGAGTCTGGCCACTGCTGGTTGAGGTCCAGGTGCCCCACTTCCTGTCTGAGTCTGCCAGCACCTCAGGGGTCCCCAGGGAAGAATGCAAAGGCTGCAGCCACCAGAGGCTCCAGGCCTGGGAGGGTGGCGCCCTGCTTCCACAGTATGTGCTCTGCGAGGAGCGCTGTGCTGGCCTGTTCACACTGCGCCAGCTCGAACGCTTGCGTGCCGGGCAGCCGGAGGCAGGTCGCTGATCACCCTGGGTGCCATCAGCTATGGCAGGCTCTGAGCTCTCTCGGGGCAAGTGCAGCTATAGGACCAGGACGGGATCCCTCATGAGGGAGCACAGAGGGCTTCAGAAGGAGGCATCTGTAACAAGTGGGCAAGTGGATGTGAGGAGGACCCTGGCAGGGCCAGGAAGAGCCCAGGACCAAGGGGCACCTGTGGCACCATTGGCCTCAGCCCTGGCTGCCCCTCAGGGCCCTTGGCTGTGTGGCACTGGCGTTGGGACCACACATACACTAGAAAGCTGGATGACAGGCAGCTCCTGGCGTTGGCCGTATGATGCTTATTGTGATGGAACACATGGCCTATGAAGTGTGTGAGTCACAGGTTAGGTGTGTTCCATGTGTCACTGTCACCCCCAGGAGCCCCTCACCACCTTCTTCAATCAGTAGCTCTCCTTACCCTGCCCTGAGCCACTGTCTTGCTGTGTGTCACCATGGAGCTGGGGTCCCAGCAGGCCGTGGCACTCCAGGGGACCCAGGACCACATGCAGATACATTTGGAGCGCTCACAGATGGCGCCATCTCCACGGGTGGAGGCCCAGGTGGGGCATGTTCTTGTGTTCCTAGGGCAGAGGTCTAGGCAGCTGATGTAGGGGAGTCTGCCTTGTGACCTAAACTGCAAGTGCATGGAGACATTCTCACCGGCCTGGTGTGCATGTGTGTTTGTGTATGGTACAGGGGTTGAACCCAGAGCATTTACACTGAGCTGCATCCCCAGTCCTTTTTATTTTTTGAGACAGAGTCTTACTAAGTTGCTAAGCTGCCCAGGTTAGGCTCAGAATTGTAATCTTCCTGCCTCAGCCTCTCAGAGTGCTGGGATTAGAGGTGTGCACCACCACACCTAGCTATCTGGCTTTGTATTGTGCCCGGATGACGGTTGTGTGTTGAGGCATGGGGTTGTGTTTAACCTTTTTTAGAGCCACGTAATACTCCACAGTGAGAGTCCTGTGGTTTGCTTCTGCCCCTGCTGCTGAGGTGCATGCAGTGTGTGCCCCACCTGCGGACACAGCACTTGTCCTGTGGCTCCGGGTGGGTCTAATGCCCCCTGCCTAGAGTTCTGCTGAGCCACAGCTCTGTGTTCCAGTGTCATGAAGCCGCTGTGTCCATCTACTGCAGCCTGCGCCCGCGGAGCCTGTCCCACTGGGCCCTGGTCTCCATGCTTTCCTTGCTGGCCTGCTGCCTCATCTACTCACTGACAGGTGGGCACTGCTGGGGTGCCGGGGCCAGGGGAGGAAGGGCAAGGATGGCACAGTGCCCTGCATTCCAAGGGTCTTTGCTGCTGCCCCCTCGGCACCCACAGGAAAAGGCCCCATCCGTAGTGGGGAAGCTGAGGCCAGGGGCTCCTGAGGCTCAAACCTTCCCAGCCCGAGGGCAGAGCCGAGTCCTCATCTGGCTGTGCTCTCACGGCGCCCACCCTGAGCAGTTTGGTGGAAGGCTCCTGGCGTTGCGTCTGGGCGGTGAATTACAGCGCGGTGTTCCCAGCCTGGCAGGGTAGCTGGGTGCCGTCAAAGGTGACGCAAGAGTGGCTCAGCGAGGGCTGTGCCGTACCCGAGGTCACGCAGCGCTTCCGCAGGGCAGGCGGGACGCAGGCTGACTTCCAGCCTGCTGCTGTCGAGCCTGACGGTGCTCTTTCATCTGCCTGTACTTCAGGAAGGGCCTTGGGCTGCCAGCAATCTGGGGGGCAACCTTGGAGGTTCCCTGAGAAGTTTCCTGGGGGACTCTGCCCCAGCAGGGAGGTCCTGAGGCTGGTCAGCCTGGGTCAGAGGCCATGTGTCCATAACAGAGCAACGCTTCTTGACGTCCCTGGCACTGGGGCCAGCAGGGTCACAGGACTCTCAGAAAGGCTCCCAGAGAAGCCAGAGGCACCGTCTCGGGATAGGTAGGAACACATGGGTGACTGTGAGAGCAGCATTATACTGGGGCCCAGGGACAGGTGAGCTGGCCCATCCTGCGAGGTTGGCTCTGTGAATCTGGGTGATGGTTGATGCCCTCAGTCTTGGTCTCGCCCATCTGTAAAGTGGGTGTGTAGCCAGCTGTTCCGCTTAGCTGCTCTGGAACGAGGCAGACAGCCCGGAAGGTGTGTGTGTTTCCCAAGTGGTGCCTTCTTCCAGGACGCCGTCACTCTATAGAAGCCCTGGGACCGGCTCTGTGAGCAGAGTGCAGGAGGGCCCAGCTGCCAAGGCAGTAACCTTCGGCTTGGGACAGGACACCCACAGCAAACAGCGGGAGAGGGTCCCTCCCAGAACCCGCCACCACCCCGGAAGAAGTCCTTTAGGGGCTGTAAGCTCTCTGGGGGCAGCGGGACATTTTCTAGTGGGAGCTCCCTGGCTTCCCCCTTTCCCCTCTGCAGGGGCTTATGGCTTCCTGACCTTTGGGGCAGAAGTTTCTGCTGACATCTTGATGTCCTACCCAGGCAGCAACACAGCTGTCATCATTGCCCGGGTCTTCTTTGCTGTCTCCATTGTGACGGTCTACCCCATTGTGCTCTTTCTGGGGAGGTGAGTCCTGGCTGAGGGCGGGGTGTCCCCATGCCACACCAGGGTGCTGCCAGGGCTCCCTGTGGCACATGCTAACTTGACACAGGGCACAGAGAGCTTAGCAGTCCACTTGAAGCTGCCCATACGCTGACTCCCCGCCCTCTCCTCTCTGCTGGCTGCCCACCCCTGAGGGCGGCAGGAGCATGTGGAGGGTGTGGAGCAGGAGCCCTGCTGGGTGTCACACAGGGGCTCGGGGAGGGCTGGCAGTTGGCTGGCAGCCCCGGGTACCCGTGTGTGCCTGTGACCGTGCGCCCTGCAGGTGTGTGATGCAGGATTTCTGGAGGAGGAGCTGTGGGGCACACGGGCCCCCGGTGCTGGCTGACCCCTCAGGGCCATGGGTTCGGGTGCCGCTGACTGTCCTGTGGGTGGCTGGAACGCTCACCGTGGCCCTGGTCCTGCCCGACCTCAGCAAGATCATTGGAATCATCGGCGGTGTGAGCGCCTTCTTCATCTTCATCTTCCCGGGTGAGGGATGCGCTGCGGCCTCCCGCCTGCCGGTCTCTGGCCGCGTGGGCTCTGCACGGACCCCCTGCGGGATGGGGCTCGAGATTCGGAGGTGGGAGCCCACGGGGACGGGACAGGGCCCTACTTGGCCGCCGGCTTACTGGCGGGGCCCCGCTCTGGCTGAGCCGCTCAGCAGCCCTTCGTGGGGGCACCGGTAGGAGGTGTGATCGAAAACTACAGTAAGAGTTGACCTTTTAAAATGCCATCACACTAAAAGGCACATTGCCGCGAATCCCCTCCAAATGCTGCCCCCACTTGGGACTCGTCTCATCAGGCTCGCTGCTGTCTGAGGCAGTTCTGGAAGTTGTCTTCTGTCTGTGGCTGTGTTGCCATGGCTGCCTTAATGTCCTGAACTGATTCACATGTTCCCCTCAGGGTCCTTCTGACTTTGGGGCAGGGAAGGAGTCACGCGCTGCCAGGCCTGGGGAAGAGGGTGGGTGAGGACGCAGTCGTGTTTTTATAGGCTGCCCTTCCACTGGATGCACATGGCAGCAGCAGGCATGTGTTTTTTATCACACCTTGTAAAGCCACTCGTGGAGAGGACTTCCAGAACCACATGGGGAGCGGTGAGAGTGACGCGATGTGTATGATCGAGCAGAGGAGGGTTTTGAGGGGATTCCTGGAGATATGTCTGCTACTGCAATACATTTACAATTTTTACATATTCACCAGGTAGCTCCATCCCCCTCATATGAGCCCGTCCGACAGAGGGTGACACAGCGGGGTTAGAGGAGGGAGCTGGGCCGCAGCGTTGTCTGCCCTCACACTGCCCCCTTCTGCCGCAGGACTTGGGTGTGTTTCTCTCTTTACCTCGGTGTGCACAGCACACCTGGGTCACAACGTACACGGCGAGCCTCCCCTGCCCCTGCCGCAGAGCCTGGAGAGCCTCGCACCGCTTTCTGACACTGCTCTAGTGTCTGTGGGCTGGGTGAGAGTTCCAGTTGTGAGCACTGTCGGGCTGGGAGACCACCAAGGGCAAAGCGAGGAGCTTCCCCAGCTGCTCAGGGGCAGGTACCCCAGGGACACAGCACACAGTACCTGCTCCACGAGCAGACCCTGTTTCGAGAGGAGCACTACCCATCAGGCATTGGTGGGCAGGGAAGTGGGGAGGGAAGGAAGTGCTCACCTTCGCCTGGGCTCTGGGGAGAGCGGGCCCGGGCCCCCTCACATCTCCCTTGGCACCCAGGGCCCGTGATGGGTGGCACCTTTGGATGCCAGCTTTCGCCTGGCGGGAGAGGAGATGCAGGCAGGGCGGGAGGCCGGGGAGGCTGCAAGGTGCTGGGCCAGCTGCCTGGCTTGTGTCCCAGCGGGACTATTTGAAATCTACCAAAATGAAATCAGAGGATGGCAAGGAGAAGGTGGCAGCTGCCAGGGATGGGCAGCAACTCGCACCCTCTCTGTAGACTGCCGGGAGGGCCACTGACACCGCCTCTTACAGACGGCAGCTCGGCAGTCCACACGGTTGCTGGCCTCTGACCAAGTGCTCCTGGGGTGCTGAACTGGGCGCCCTCCGGTCCTCTAACCACAGGCCGTGCCACCTAGCTGGGGCGCTGACTGGGGGTCTCCCGCGTCCCCTGCGGGTTGCTGGTGGCTCTCAGCCACAGCCTCGCCTCGCCTTGGTCTGGTGAGGAGGCCGCGTGACCTCGTGTCTCCTTTCCAGGCCTGTGCCTCGTCTATGCCATGGATGTTGAGCCTGTAGGACCGAGAGTCAAGTGAGTGTTCCCGGGACGGGGGTGGCAGCTTGGCCAGGAGTGAGGCTGCTCCTGTCCTGTAGATAAGGGACCAAAGGCTGCCCTGGGAGGGGCTTGCCCACATAGTGAGATGACATCTGTGTTGTCAGGACACCTGGCCAGCGACACTCGGCCCTGGGTTCTGTCAGTGGGGAATGTCCCTGCCCTAAGTTGGCTGGGCTCAAACTTGGGATCCTCCTGCCTCAGCCTCCTGAGGGATGGGATTACAGGCATGTGCCAGCATGCCCAGTTCTTCTCAGAACCTAGCTATGTGGGCTTTGTCCTGGGACCCAGCTCACCAGCTTTTACCCATGAGCCTTCAAGACGGGTTTTCTGTAATCACCCTCAGTCCTGCTCCCTCGTGTGGCTCCACGGGGCACTGTGGCAGGTCGCCCCTGTCCTGTGGGACGCTGAGCAGCCATGTGACACGGGTCCCCTGCCCTCTGTTAATGGGCCCCGCGGTCTCTCTGGCAACCCTGAAATGTGGTGGGAATCGCGTCATCACTGCCGTCTTCTCAGCTGGCCCGGTATCCAGGAAGCTCGCGCCTGTGGCCGTGGCTGCCCCAGTCCCTGCCGGCCCTGCTCTCCCCCCTCTCCAGGCAGCTGCCCTGCTGTGTGCAGTAAGCGATGGAGTGGGCTTTTAAGAAGGCTCTGGTCCTTCATTTGCCATTGTCTCAGAGACCCATCTCTCCAGCGCAGGGAAATGTGGGATTTTTCCAAGTCCTCGGCTGCAGATTTGGCTGCACACCGCAGGTTTTCCACGCATGTGCAGCCTGCGATGTGCTGACGTGGCTTTGTGCCTTGGCAGGTGCTTCCTGGAGGCCTGGGGTGTGGTCTCGGCGCTGGTGGGCACCTTCATCTTCGGGCAAAGCACGGTAGCCGCCATCCTGGAGCTGGCCTGAGGGGCCTCTGCTGGTGTCCGGCTCGAGAGGAGGCTGGCGTGGCTGCTGTCAGTGTCAAGATACCAGGGCTTGGACTCCTCCGCCTCCCAGAGCTCGGTGGTTCTGCAGCTCCCAGGGGTTCTAGGTTCACCAACAGAAACTCGATGGCGCACAGAACAGGGTGCGGCAGGGCTGCGCCCCACTCCTGCTTCTCATGGGTGCCGCCAGTCTGTGCTCTCATCTTCGCCTGGCCGCCTCCCCAGGTGTCTGTGTCCGGATTTCCCCCTTCTTGTAAGAACACTGGACATCCGTTCACACCGCAGCCTAGTTTAGTGTGTTGGCTTCTGCCCTTGACTGTAGCTCATCTTAATAACTCAAGATATAGGGGCTGGGGATTTAGCTCAGCGGCACAGCACCTGCCTGGCAAGCGCGAGGTCGTGAGTTCGATTCCCAGTACTGGAAACCGCCCCCCCCCCAAAAAAACTCAAGATATGCCAGAGTCCAGTTTCCAAGTCGGGCCATGTTCACTGGGTCCCCGTGTTAGGGCTTCAACTCCTCTTGCTGTGGATATGGCTCACCCCTTCATAGAGAGGGAAGGGAAGAAGGGGCGGAGACCCAGAGAACCCGGCTTTGGGGTATTGGGATCAATGCTACCAGCTGAGCACAATGGATGGGGGCCCAACAGGGGGTTTTGGGGGTGTCCCTTGCAGTGGCAGTGGTCTCAAACTGGCTCACAATTCTGTCTAGACCAGCAGATCCAGTGTGATGGTTTAGATCTAAAATACCCCCCCCAAAGTTTTGGGGCTCTATGCTCACCAGTGGATTCATCCACTGATGGGATCATGGCTAAATGTGCTGTTGGCAGGGCCCCTGGTTGGAGATGGTCACAGGGGATGTGACCTGGAAGAATGTAGTCCCTTCTCGCTCTGCTTCCTAGCTACCATGGGGTGAGCCTCTTCCCTCTGCCAGCCCGTTTCTTTCTTGGAGCCAGCTTGCCATGGACTGAACCCACTAAAATCATCAATCAGAATAAACCTGTCCTCCTTTAAGCTGTGAGCATCAGGTATTATGTCCTAGTGACAGGAAAGTGACTGATACACCCAGGGAGGTGAATGCCCAGGACAGGCCTGTGCCCCTTTTCCCTTCAGCTCACTCTACCCAGAGAGCCTAGAGGCCAAGTGGACCCGTGCCCTCTAGTTCTTGCCTGACCCTACCCTGACACTGCAGTTGTCACACCTGTGGCAGAGGGCACGAAGGGAGAGAGGGTCATTCCCAAGGCCTCAGAATGGGGAGCAGTGGGAGTGGGAAGGGACCCATCTGTCCCCGTGTCCACATGTTCCTGCCTTTGACCCTGCCTAGGGCCATATCCTGGATGTCGCTGAACTCAGGCCACCTTTTCTGCCTCGGATTCCCCTTCCTAGAAGCCAGTGAGGTGACAGGGAGAGTAGAGCTGACATTCCCAACACCGTTCTCATGCATGCAGCAAGCCTGGCCCTGAGCCAGGCCCTTTCTGTGTATGTGCTGTGCTGTGCTGGGACCACATGCGGTTGGCAGTGACAGGTCCAGTTTTCTTTATTTTCAGCCCATCCATGTGCATGACTTTTTAAAAAATGGTGATATATAATCTGCATACCATAAAATCTGCTCAGTGGTTTCCTGTGGGCTCACAGGTTTGTGCAGCCACTTCCACTGTCTGTCCCCAACATGCTTTCATCACGCCAAGAAGAGCCCCAGGCCACCCGTCACTGCCCATGTCCCCTGTCCTCAGCCCCAGGCCGCAAAATTTGCTTTCAGCCTCTGTGGTTTGCCTGCCTCAGCTTCCCGTAGACAGGCTCACATGGCGTGAGGTCCTGGTGTGGCTCCCTGGATGTCACGTGATGCTTCTAGACCTATGCCTCTTGCAGGTGAGGCCACTGAGACCTGGCAAAGCCGAGGCTGCCTGTCCTGCAAGGCACAGAACTGAGATCAGAGCCAGTTTGGGGCTGAATTCCGTTGTCCACGGTGCCTCACTCCATCCTGAGGAGGGGCTGTGGGCCTGGACAGTGTGCCCGGCCTGGGGGAGGGGAGACGCCCTCTACCAGCCTCCATCCTGGCCACAGGGCGGGCGGGGCGGCAGCAGGGGTACTGTCCCCTCCTCCTGTCCTCTCTGAGCCGCTGCACCGTGGCCTGCCGCGGGATCTGTTCAGTGGCCAGCGTCCTCCCAGGCAGGGCCCTGGGGAGCCAGAACCACACGGTACCGTGGCTTTGAGGCGTTTTATCACCTCAGCGTGGGCCTGCGGGCAGGCGGTCTTCCATTTATTATTGATGCCCCATCTGCTTCCTGAAAGGCTTGCAGTGCTGGCAGGGAAGGCTGCGCAGTGCTGGAGCCATTCACAGGCGTCCTGGGAAGACAGAGCGGTGCAGGCAGAGCCCCGCCCCAGGGGGCCTTGGGTTCTTGGGGACCTGACACTTTTCTAATATTTCGCATCTTAGCAGCATCCAGAGCAGGCTTACTGTGTGTGTGTTTGTTAAGAAGATAGAGTGCTAGTGACTCAGCCTTGCACACAGCGGGGACCCAGGCAGCTTGATTTCCAGAAAACCCGGAATGAGACTGACAGAGGAACACTGAGGTTCCTTGTGGCCAAGGCGGGAGGGGACTATGACCATTCGGAGCTTCTCCTAGAAGCAGGAAAGCCCACCAGGACCAAAGTGGCCTGAAGAGGGGCCGGGGAGGGCTGTTTTAGGGATGGCTGAATTTCACCCTGGGGACAGAGGTTTCTGTCCTGTGAGCTACACATTAACCACTGTAATGCAAGGACACCGTGGGGTGTGTTCAGGAGCACAGAACTCCGCTGTTCGGCCTGGGGAAGGGCCTGTCATGCTCAGGTGCCGCGAGGGCCTCTCAAGGCCTAACTGTGTCCAGATGCAGGAAGGACACAAGCCGTGTCCTCGGGCCGGTCGTGCGCGGGGCTGCGGTATGTGCGCTAGGCCAGGAAGATCCGAGTGTCCCCTCTGCCGCTTTCCACCGGTGTGTCCTCAGGGAGGCCCAGGCCCTCTGTGCACGGTACCTGTCCCCTGGTCTCAGCTGTCCCTGGTCTCAGCATCCCTCCCCTAGCCATGGCTTCCATCCGCTTTGTCCTCATCTGGGTCCCACTCAGGCAAGCCCCGAGGATGAGCTGAGGGCCACCTGCAGTGCTCTTGCCAGGAGCCTGGCCTGTCACAAGCTGCAGGTCATTGGTGACAACTCTGCTCGGGTGTAGAGACCCCCGTGTCTCAGCTCACCACTTCCCACGTGGCCAGGTGATATTTTGCATGGGAAGGACCTGTGCTTCTGCCCTGGGAATTGTGGGCTGGTGGGCGCCCCGCCCCAGGGAACACCTGCCGCCAGACTCCGTGGCCCAGCCTGGTGCTTCTGGCCCTGCAACCGCAGCTCTTGCTGTGTCCCTCCCACAGGCATCCTGGGCTTGGGATGGGGCCCCATGAGGATGTGGACGGGGCAGCTGGACATAGGTAGAAAGCTGCTGTGGGTAGATTGATGAGCTCTTGAAAAGTGTAGAGAAATTCATGTGACCAAGATTGGAATATGATCTGGGGTATCTGTGTATCAGTGGGGATGCAGTCCTGAAACCTCTGGCTCAAAACCTTTGCATCAGCCTACGTAGCCCCGGGCCCCCCATCCACATGTCTGCAGAGCTGTCTGCTATGGACACTCCCATAATTGCAGTCACATATCACGGGGCTCCCACCCAGCGCCCCATTCAGAAGCCCATCCACTGTGCCATGCTGCCACGCTTCACACCTTTCTACAGCTGAATGTAGCCTTCTTCCTCTGAGCCCACCGTCCTGGAGTCTCCTGTACACAGCAGCGCAGCGTCCGTGTGTAACCTGCACACAGCTCCGCAAGGTACCGCACGGGGCCTGACGCAGCGCACATGGTCACAAGGCTGCCCTGTGCAGGAAGTGAGGGCCAGGAAAGCCCATACCAGCTCAGTACAGAGGGACCGCTGTGGGCCTAGCTGGGCCCAACTGCATAGCTCAGGTCAGCTTGAGCGGCCCCACAGCTGCGGGACCCGTGTGTACAGAGGACTAGGGTGGGCGCGTAGTCCGCTGCATGGTGGTGTCTGTCACTGGCTGGCAGGCGTGAGCTGGGTCTGCCTGTGGGCTGCTGTGTCCTGCATGGCAGATACAGGGCAGCAGCGCTTGCCAGGCCCTTTGCCTTCTCTCTGCGTGCCCCTCTGGGCACAGCTGCTGAGTCTGTCCGCAGCTTTTTGACCAAGCTCATGTGGCCATTAATGTGGAGCCAGGGCTTGGTGGCACGTGGTGGGTAGTGGGCACAGGGTGGGGGCGTGGCTCTAGGTGTGGATGTGACCTGGGCTGCTTATGTGCTGTGTGACCTCTGGTGAGTTGCTGGCCTTCTCTGCGTCTCACCCCTCCCGCTGGGCACAGGATGGCAGTGTGTGCAGGGTGAAGGCCCGTGCGAGCGAGGTCTGTGCCTGGCTCCGGAGCGGGGCTGAGCGTGAGCTAGGCTGGGCACGGTTGAGACCTGTGCTCGCGGAGCTGCTCCCACCTGCATCAAGGCCAATCTGTGAGAGCAGGCAGGCAGATGTAGGGAGGGGCACAGGGTTACCAGTGGGGCTGCTCAGTTGTACCCCAAAGACCTCCAGCTCCTGAGAACATGGTTTTTAAAAGCCACATGCCCAGGGAAAGTGGCAGCCTCAGGCATGTGCAGCCAGCACGTCCTGACCTTCGCAGACCCCTCATGGCAGCAGCAGAACCCAAGGGGCCTAGGGACTGTTCAAGGGCAGGAAGTGTGCAAGGACAGGTGCAGCGTGAAGTCACTGGTGACGTGCTCCCGGGTGCGCGGGGAGCAGCCGGAAGAGGCACGCTCAGGTCTGCTCCCTGGGGCTCCCCAGTCCGCCCATCCTAGCCACCCCAGCAGGAGAGGGACCTGCCACTCTCGCCTCTGCCTGGTCCCCTGAGACTTCTGTGGCAGTCTTTCCTCCTAACAGGCAGAGGGGTGGGAAAGGACGCCACACAGCTTCCTGAATAAGACCTGGGATGTTACAGACATGCAGAGCTGGGTCCCTCGTCTTATGGGAACTGCAGAATTCCAGGTGTGTGGCAGAGGATGGCACCTGCTGTGAGGTCTGGCCTGTGCCCCAGCTCCTGGGCAGCCACCTCTAAGGCCCTAGGCTGTCCTGGCTGAGAAGCGTGCGTGCTTGCCAGGGGCTTGACTGCTGAACTCAGCCACACACCATCTTGGGCATCCCTGAACGCTGGAACAGGGATGAGCTTATCTGTCACACACCTATGCCATAGAGCTGTTACCACCCCATTCTACAGCTAAGCACACCAAGGGCCTGGGAGGCCCAGTTCAGCTTCCATGGCCAGGGGCTGACAGGCCCCACCCCGAGAGCTTCGCCCCTCAGCGATGGGAAAGCGCAGCAGCACATGGCTGGTTCTGACCGGAGTTTATTTGGCGCCCGTGCCAGTGGTGGCACTCTGCTGGGCGTGGCCCTGGCTACATGGGCTCTACTGCTGTCCGTGGGCTTGGTCCAGGCCAAGGTTGGGCACTACGGGGTCACAGCTCCTACCGGGCGGAGGAATGGCAGCAGGGGGAGGTGTGGGCTGTCGGTCGTCCCGCCGAGCCTCGGCCCTGTGTGCGGGGGGCGTGGGCCCTGTCACCACCCTGCGGCCTCAGCAGGACCCCGGCGAGCACGCTGCTGTGCCCCCTCAGGGAAGGCAGAGGCAGGGTGTTCTCCTGCATGTCCGACAGAGGGCAAGCACAGAAGTATGCTGAAAAGGCAGCTGTGTACCAAAGTGTCTAGAAAAGAAGGGCGTCGTTGAGGAGAGGAGGGAGGGTGTTGGGCTCTTCCACAGGGCTCAGGGCGGTGGTTACTCTCGGCCCACGGTGCACCAAGCGGCTAGAGGGGGAGAGAGAGGTTAAGGGGGCTTTCCGGGGACACTGGCCCCTTCCCTGTACAGTTGGGGAGGTAGAGGGTGGCTGTCGCCAGGGGAAGGCAAGGTGGCACTGCTCCCCTCTCCCACTGCCCCTGGAACCGTATGCTTCCCCACCTGGTGCAGGGCAGAAGCACAATTCCTGTGGGCACACACCCTTTCACTGGGCGCCAACTCTGCGCCATGCCAGGGCTGGCCTGATACAACAGAGGGGACCGCAGGGACCGTCGCGGCAGAGCCAGGCTTTGGGCCTTGAGTGGCCACCCAGGAGGCACATGCTACAGCCTGGCCGCGAAGGCAGGTGGGGGCCCCCAGAGGGATCTTGGGGGCTGCTCTGGGCTTTGCGGACGTCTTCGCTCTGTGCTGGGTGCACCGGCCTGGGGCCCCTGTCCCTGAGACCTGCTCTGTGGCTGTCGAACCATGCGGTGGCTGTCTCTGCCCCTGTCTGCACACCCGGCCTTGGTGGTGGGAGCTCCCATCTGGACCATGACTGGGTGGGGAGACACACAGCCCTTACAGGTCAGGGGCGTCTCTAGAGGGGCCCTCCTCCCAGACAGCAAGGCCCCACGCCCTCGCTGGGCCTGGCCCCCTACCTGGCACGGAGATCCGGGACAGTGCCTCTGGCTGGCTCAGCGTGTCCACCTTGACGTGTCGGAAAGCCCTGCAGATGGGGCTCTGCAGATGCCTGCAACGGGGCGTGGCCAGTTGTGGGGAGAGGTAGGAGATGGAACAGCATGGGGGCTGCTGGGTCTAAGGCCTGTGGGCATCACAGCGGGGGTGCGACTCTGGCCCCTGGGCTCTGCCTGCCCACAGGGCTCTGGAGCTGGGAGCTCCATTTAACCATGGGCTAGCGGGGGACTAACTCGGGTGGAAGACCCTGGAGCCGGGCGCTTAGATGCTCGCCCCAAGAGTGCTGGAGGGTGCACAGGTCCGTGGTCACTCCCTTCTCCCCGCAGGCCCACAGCCTAATGGTCCCCGAGTGGGTACCAGGGAGGCCGGGAGCCACCCCCATCTGTGCCTCCTGCTGCCAGGGCCAGGTGGTGTATGGCGACCCGGCAACCTCAGGACTGCCGCTGGCGAGTCCTGGCTCCAGCCAGGCAGGGCCGCTGGATATGCTCTGAGCAGGGATGGAGCCCCACTGCACCTGGAAACTCAGCGGGCATGAGGCTTTGGGACCGAGCAACTGTCACATCTGAGCTGTGGGATCTCTAAGTCTCCATGTCCTGCGCACTGCGGGATGCTCAGTAAGGCACAGCCTCCGCCTCAAAAGCAGGCATGGGAGGGCGCTGGGAGGCACGGGGACCCCGAGGGCTTCCCGGAAGGGGCACGAGTGAGCTGGGGGGCACAGAGGGGCCTGCAAAGCAGAGTGGTTTCCACACGCCCCGTGGCTCCAGCGGGGTGAAGGGCAGAGGCAGCCACTCTGCTGCTGCTGCTGAAGCACCATCCCGCATCTGTGTAATGGTCCCCTGGGCCAGGGATGGGGTGCACCTACCTCTTCCACTCCTCCTCCGTCTCCCAGAACTCGTAGACCACGAAGGTGAAGCCATCAGCCAGCCTCACTGCGGCGATGCTGCCGGGAAGGGAAGAGGGAGGCTGGGGTTCGCTGCACAGACCCACGGCAGCCTGCGTAGGGCACTTCCCAGGTGGTGCTGGGGCTGCCAGGGCGACGGAGGCCCTCCCTAAGGTCATAGCATCTGGGCCGTGCTCCTGCCACACCGGGGCAGCAGCGCACCCCAAGCCCTCTGTTGGGGCCAAGTGCCGGGCTGGCTAGGTCCAGGCTGGGCCACGCAGGACGATGCAGGGAAATGAGGCCACCATGGGCTTTCCCTCGGCACGTGGTCCCTGCTGGGGACGGCGAGCTCATGCCCTCTGCCAGCCCCCAGTGCCAGGCAAAGGTCATCACGAGCTCCTGGGATTGCCTAAATTTGGTTACAGAGGCGGGATGAATGCCAGCATGGTGACAGCAGTTGCTTCACTGACATTCAAAGCCCTTTTGGGAGGACAGATGCCTGTGGCCAGGCGGAAAGACCGAAGCAGACGTGGGCTGTAGGGAGGACGTGCGTCACTCAGCACACAGGCGCGGGACCCCCTCCTCTGTGCAACCCGTGGCGCACAGCTGCCCTCGGGTGGTCCCATCCTAGCAGCAGGGCTGCGGTCGGTGGGGTGCGTAGAATGAACAGTAAAAGGAAGGCGAACGAAACGGGACCCGAAGGTGCCAACAGCTCAGCACGGGGCGGCAGCCACGGCAGCCTGGGTCACTCTCCTCGCAGGGAGGGGCGCTGTGGCAGTGAGCCGGGGTGGAGCTTCGTGGGAGAGCGCTTGTCTGGCAGGTACAAGGGCTAGGTTCGATCTCTAGCACCATGAAACCAACAGTGCCACCCGCACACTGCTGGGCCGAGTGCCGTCCTTAGCCGGCCGTGTTGGCAGCCTGAAGTCAAGACTGCCTGCACCACTGCCTGCCCGCTCGGCCCCCGCGCCAGCCCCATCTGTCCAGACTGCGGTGCTGCCTCTGTCCGCTCTGCCTCACCACCGTGAAGCCAGAGTCTGTGCCCGCCGCCTGCCAACAACCCTCCTCCCGGTGCACCCAGCCCACCTTCACACCGCACAGCAAGGGGAACCCGGCCCCTTGCAGACTGACCCGGCCCATCCTGCTCAGCAGGAGCGGGTCCTGTTGTCGGCCCGTCCCACTGTCATCACTCCGCCACACCACTGCTTTCTCGTTCCCAAACACGCGGAAGCTGCCACCCTGACCTGACACCTCTACCTGCAGCAGCAGCCACCCCGGAGGCCCCGGGGAGACCCTATTCTGGCCAGATTAAACGTTCTGTGGAGCAGCTTTGTCCTGCCTGTTTGCCGGCGGAGGTCCCAGCACTAGGAGGACAAATGAGCCTGTGAAGGGGAGACTGAGGCAAGGGGCCGGAACGGGCCCCGGAGCTGGCTGTGGAGCGAGGCCAGCCTGGGCTCAGGCCTCAGCAGCAAGGGCCCAGGGCTGCTGTCTGCGTGACCTGTGCAGGTGGCCTCAGTGTCAGCTCAGCCTCACTCAGGACGTGGGCCACCGGTGGGCAGCCCGGCGGGGAGGGGGGTGGCGGCTCCCACAGCCCACGAGGGGCAGAGCGCTGGCTGCCATTTCTCGGGCATTTCCCTCCCGTGTCCCTCCTCATTTATTTACGGTGTGTGCCACAGGCCGGGCCCAGTGCGGCGTGACATGCGGGTTCCTAACGCGGCCAGATGAGCACGCTGAGGTCCCCTGCCCCATCCTCACTGCGGGCGGGGCACGGGGAGGGCCTGAACCTGCGCTACCGCCAGCCGCCATCGCCCCTGCCCGCAGCACGGCTCACTCACTGGAAGCAGGGCCTGGCTCCGGCAGTGCCCCGCAGGTACTGTCGCAGGGAGCCCAGGAACTCGCCCAGCTGCTCAGGGCACACGGCCATCTCCTGCCGGACCAGCTGCAGGTGCTGCGGACCAGAACAGAGGGGAGCAGGGGCACCGGGCCTCCACCAGGTCCTCCCCCCAGCCCCGCCCCAGCCCCCAGTGCCTCCCCGCATGGCGGACAGGACAAGTGGGTCAAAATTAGAGCCAAACCTCGCTGCCCACGCTGCATTCCCACCCGTGGAAGCTGGCTGCAGGGACGAGACCTGCAGCAGCCAAGTGTGCATGGCGAGAGTTTGCAGAGGCTGCCGCCAGGCCAGGGCCTGGGCCCCCGAGTCTGCATGCTGCGAGCTCGCCTGACGCTCGCCTGCTCCAGCAAGTTTATGTGGAGCAAAGCCCAGGCCGAGGGGCCAGGCTCTGGGGCTGCACAAGGTTCCGCGGGGCTCTGAGCCACACAGAACACCCCGGCTCTCCCAGGGAAGGAAAGGGCCTCACCATGTTGGTGCCTTCGTCGTCATCGGAGAGGCGCTGCTGCAGGTCAAACCAGAGGGTCTGAAACAACGGAGCCCAGAGCCACGCCTGAGACACCAGCTGCCGCCCAGGGCTGAGCCTCTGCACACTGGACCAGGGTTCCCAGGGCCAGGCCTTCAGACAGGGCTGCCTCTGAGAGAACCCCAGGGAGAGGCAGAAAACCCCCTGGGCACTGCCCGCTTGGGGCACAAGAGAGGCACAGACACCCCCTGACCAGCGCAGCAGGTCTTCCTGCGGAAGAGGCTCCGAGTGCTTTGCTGGTGCAGGGAGGCCTGGGGAGGCAGCAATGGGCACACAGGAGGCCCACCAGGACCTTAGGTGGTTTTTTGGGGGTGATACTGGGGCTTGAACCCAGGGATTTTGAAATAAGCTATATCTCCAGCCCTTTTGAGACAGGGTCTTGATAAATTACCCAGGTGGGATTTGAATTTGCAATCTTCCTGCCTCAGCCTCCCAAGTGCTGAGATTATAGGCATGCGCCACTGTGCCCATCTTGACACTGGGTTCTTGCCACAGCTGCTGATCACAGCCCTGAGGTTCCTCACTCATGACACTGCCAGGCGTTGCCTCTGACCCCCATGAATCTAACGGTCTGACTGGGGTGCTGTGTACTGGGGCCCTCCCAGGCCCTGAAGCAGAGGGTTACAAAGGCACCTTATTTAATCATCGGACTCCCTGGAGCAGCAGCAGCCCCACATGGGCTCTGCGACAGACAGAGCTTAGGAAACAGCAGCAGGTGTTCCCACCTGTGACTTGGTGTTTGTACAAGGGCCCCGCACAGTCATTCTGCGCTGGTTTTGTGAATTACAGTCTGTCCTAGAGCCAGCACTGACTTTCCCGGGAGGGGACAAGGGAGGAGGACGTGCTCCAAGCAGGGAAGGTGTGCCTGGCGGGGCCCAGTCTGTTTCCGTCATTTACAACCAGGATGTGGCTCCGGGAGGACCGGGGTGGCAACTGGCTTCTCTGTAAGAGGATGAGGGGCAACGGGGTGGCACCTGACTCTGCCAACCCAGCCTGTGCTCCTCCATCCTTCCATTTGACTGGGCCAGAAGGTGGCTCAGGTTGGCTTTCGGGGGCGGGCCAGGAGCCAGGCCCTGACTGGCCTATGCTGGAATCCAGAGCCAATCAGAAACTGGGAGGAGGGCCCGCCCTGTCTCCAGGACGCCCAGGTACTCCGTGGTTACCAGCCAGCATGGTTGTTAGGGCGACCAAGGTGCTAAAAATAAGCTTCAAAGAGCCTCCTTCCCGAGGCCCCTGCTGAGTTGTTATGACAACCGGCCTCAGGGTCCCGAGAGCCGCTCCCACCCGGACAGCTGGGCATGAGGGATCTCACTCCCGACTCAGCCCTGCAGCCAGGCTGCAGCCTCCTCCCTTGACTTCCCACCATCGGACTGGCCTCCCTCAGGCAGACCCTGGCTTCTGCTCCATGAATCTCTCAGAGCCCCCAAATCCATCAAAGCACGAGTGCCCCCTGCCAAAGATGAAAAAGATGAGCAGATACCAAAAAGAGGAAATGTCTCCTCGATCCTAGGCTGAGATGCTGGGTCACGGTTTATGTAGGCACACGGGGGTGGTATGCGCCTATGTGCGTAGATTTTGGTAACAGAATGTCTAACAATAACTGTCAACAGTGCTAATATTAAATGCTAACTAGGACAGAAGGTTCTGTGGAAGTCATCAAGACGTCATCTTATTTAATCCTAACAACACCCCTGAGAGGGGTTCTACTGGCCCAATCTATCAGCAGAGGTAGAATCGAAGGCTCAGAGAGGGTGAGTCACTGGTCCAAGGCCAGACAGTTCCCAAATTCAAATGCCAAAGGTCTGACATTCCATCTTGTCCATCTGTAAGCCTAATGCAAGCTGTTTTCCTCTTGCGCCAAACGGTCACACATTCTCCACTGAGTCACAAGCCCTTCCCTGAACATGTGGCTCTGGGAAGGCTTGCTGTTTGCTGTCCTCTGCTCCTGTAGCTACTGCCCACCCTGCCACCGGCCAGGGTTCCACCCGAGTCCCGCTGTCCACCTGCACGCCACCTGGCTGACGCCTCCCCAGGGCTCTCCGATCCACCAAGCCAAGCTGCCCGGGTGTGCGCACAGGGCGGAAGGAGGCTGCGGGCGGGGTGGGCGTGGCACAGCTCACCTTGTGCTCCAGCCTCCCGATCAGCTCCGCCAGCCGGCTGACCTGGGCCTCTAGACTCTCCTCCTTGGGGTCCCTGGGGACTAGGAAAGAACCAATGATGACCAGCAGGGCTGGGACTGGGGGGCGTGGGGCACCCAACCGCCTGGCCCAGTCCCATCTGAGCACCCGGGAACTCCTTGGGACCCCGTGCAGTGCCCCTCACAGGGCCACTGCTCGCTCGCTCTCACCAGGCGGAAGGCTCTTCCCTGGCTCCACAGCCAGCGGGGCGCAGGGAGGAGCGGGGCTTCCGTACCAGCTCTCCACGGCGCCGTGGCTGGGTTTTCCATGGTTCTGTCTGCAGTGAGTGGGGGAAAGTCAGCGACGGCAGCGGCAGGGCCAGGACCACTCTTAGCAGCATGCGCATTTGGTTTTCAGACCCCAGCTGTGGGCTGAGCTGTGCCCAGAACCTACTTAAGAAGTGGGCCAGACAGTGGAAGCATTCTGCATGATCAGTGAGCAGGACAGGGGCAGGGCAAGGCTGCGTGGGGCCCTGGAGATGGTGCCTTAGCTGTGTGTGTGGGAGCTGCTGTGTGCACAACAGGCGCCCTCCCAGGCCCTGAAGCAAAGGGTTACAAATGCACCTTATTTAATCATCAGACTCCCCGGAGCAGGAGCAGCCCCACATGGGGCTTCAGTCCGCCATGGCTGAGGAGCTAGGTGCATCGCTGTCCCCGTATTATAACTAAGACTGGGGCAGAGGATGTGCAGCAATCTGCCCAAGGTGACCAGGAACACGAAGCAGCGTGTGTGCCCCGTGAGACCCCATGGGGCACCACCGACACACCGGATCTGGCTGGTCTGCTCCTCGATGGCCTCTACCGCACTCTCCACAGAGCTGAGCAGCGACTGGATCTGATTGGCCGTCTCCTTCAGGAGGAAGCGGGTGACAAACTGGTCCACGTTGCTCCCGCCCTCGTATACCTGTGGAGGGAAGGGAAGGGCACTGAGGGGAAAGGTGTGAGAGGACTTGCGCAAGGCATCCAGCAGGACTGGCCTGGGGCTGGTCTTTGATAGGTGTGATGATGGGGTCTCCACTGCGTCCTGTGTCTTGGAGGCTGCAGAGCATCCAAAACAGGGTCATGGACTCAGACAGCAGGGGCTGAACCCTGGCTTTGCCACACACCAGCTCTGCGGCCTCTCTGAGCACGCCAGGCACTCCTATAGCATGCATGACATCGTTCAGTTCTCACAGTGAGGATGGGGCTGCTGCAGGTCTACCATACAGAGCTGTAGCAAGGACCAAGAGCAAAATGGGTATCAGATGCTCGGCACTATGCCAGCCACAGAGTAGTACTCAATGCACAGTGGCTACTGCAACACACACAGTTGGTGATGGTGATGGTGATGGTGGTGATGGTGATGGTGGTGATGGTGATGGTGACTGAGTGGTGATGGCTGTGCTCATAGTGGTGATGGTGGTAGTGATAAAAATGATAGTGATGGTGATGAGAATGGTGATGATGATGTTGGCAATGGTGATGAGGATGGTGATGGCGATGGTGGTGACGACAGTGATGATGTGGATGGGGATGATGTGCGTAATGGGGATGAGGATGGTGGTGATGAGGATGATGATGGTGGTGATGGTGATGAGGATGTTGATGGCAATGGAGGCGGCGATGACAGTGATGATGTAGATGGGGATGACGTGCATAGTGGGGATGAGGATGGTGGTGATGAGGATGATGATGGTGGTGATGGTGATGATGTTGATGGCAATGGAGGCGGTGATGACAGTGATGATGTAGATGGGGATGACGTGCATAGTGGGGATGAGGATGGTGGTGATGAGGATGGTGATGGTGGTGATGCTGATGGCAATGGTGATGACAGTGATGCTGTGGATGGGGATG